CTGCTGGGCCCCGGCGATCCTTCCGCCTCAGCCTTCCAAGTAGCTGGAACTGCAGGCGCGTACTACCTACCACATCTGGCTAATTTTTTTGATTTATTGTAGAGATGAGGTCTAGCCAAATTGCCCAGGTTGGTCTCGAACCAGAGGACTCAGGCAATCCACTCACCTCAGCCTCCCAAAGCGTGGGATTACAGGCTGAGCCACCGAGCCCGGCTGAGACCTTGTCTCTTAAAAAAAGCAAAAAAGTAAATTAGAGAGCGAGAAAGAGGAGATTCACCTCCCCAAGGTCACCCAGGCTGGAGTACAGTGATGTGATTATAGCTCACTGCAGCCTCGGCCTCCTGGGCTTAGGTCATCCTCCTACCAGGTAGGACTACGGACGCCACTGTACCCCGCTCATTTTTTGATTTTTTGTAGACACGGGATCTTACTGTATTGCCCAGGCTGGTCTGGAACTCCTAGGCTGAAGTGGCCCTCCCACCTCAGCCTCCCAAAGCACAGGGACTGCAGGTGTGAGTCACCACGCCTGGCCTAGAATCCTGTTTTCAGTGGGAGGTTCTCATGTAAAAATACATCCCTGCCTCTCTCCTGCAGACTCACCTCCTCCCCAAGGGGATTTTTTTTGTTTTGTTTTTTGTTTTTTTTGAGTCAGTGTTTCACTTCATCTCCCAGGCTGGAGTCAGTGGCACAATCATGGCTACCACAGCCTCCACCTGCTGGGCTCAGGCAGTCCTTCCACCACAGCCTCCAGAGTATCTGGAACTACAGGCTCTCACCACCACGCCTGGCTAACTTTTCTGATTTATTGTCGAGACGAGGTCTCGCCAAATTGCCCAGGCTGGCCTTGGATCCCTGGGCTCAGGCAGTCCTCTCGCCTCAGCCTCCCAGCGTGCTGGGATGACAGTTGTGAGCCTCCGCACCCAGCTCCGAGGGGATTTTTTAAATGAACATGAACCCAGAATTCTCACCTCAGCCTCCTCCCCGAGGACAGAGGGCGGCACGTGAGTTTGGGCCCAGGAGCCAGGCCACGGCCAGCTCTGTGGCCCAGTCTCAATCTGAGCACCTGGGAGCCCATGAACGTGAATGCGTGGACAGTCCCCCTCCCGTGGACAACGCTCAGGTGTGGCCCTAGTCCCTGGGAGCAGACTCTGAGCTCGCGGGAGAGACAGGGCAGACTCTAGGGGGTCTTTCCAGAGCGCACCCGTGAGTCCTGCTGGGGTGCTTCTCAGCCGCCGGTAGCAGGCCGTGTGTGTTCCCACGCATGGAGGAGTCGGCCAAGGCCCGAGCAGAGGCGGGACCTCCTCCGTTGCCGTCCGTGGGGCCGGGCGCAGGCCTGCACCCCAGGGCCCTCCCCTTCAGCCATGTCCCCAGGCAGGGCCGCCTCTCCGTGCCGTCTTGGGCTTCAGCGTGGCCCTCTGGAACCGGGCAGAGGAGTGAGGAAGCCAGGGTGCCTGCAGCACCGGGTTTGGCCAGGGTCGGGTGGCACGCTGACAGCAGCGGGCGGGGTGGCCCTGGTGACACAGCTCTTCCTGCAGCGGCAGCGACGCCCAGCTTGGCTGCACGTCCTCATCCCAGAGCGGGAAGGGCCTGACTCCACACCCCAGCAGCCCCTTGGCGCCCACCAGGGATGTGTGTGCTGGGCCAGGCTGCCCCGGGATTT